CGACCCTTTACTTGATACGTGGTTTACAAATATTTTCTCCCATTCTGTAAGTTGCCTTTCACTCTGTTGAATATTTTTCTTGCTATGCAGAAGCTTTTTAGTTTGATATAGTTCCATTTGTCTATTTTTTACTGTTGTTCCTGTATTTTTGGTGTCAATACAAAAAATCATTCCCAAGACCGATGTCATAGAGTTTTCTCCCTGTATTTTCTTCTATGATTTTCACTGTATTATGGCTTACATATAAGTCTTTAATCCATTTTGAGTTGAGTTTTGTGTATAGTTTAAGGTAAGGGTCTAATTTCATTATTTTGTATGTGGGTATTCCATTTTCCCAACACTATTTGTTAGAGTCAATCATTTCCCCATTGTGTATTATTGGCAGTCTTTTCAAAGGTCAGTTGATCATATATGTGTGAACTGATTTCTGGGTTCCCTATTCTGTTCTATTAGTCATTATCATTTTTATATCAGTGCCATGCTGTATGAATGTACTTCAAACTAAAAATGTGTATGTATTGATTATAAGTTGTTACCAATACCTTCTTTTCTCCTAATATCCAAAAAATCAATAATATGCAATGTTATTACCTGATATTGCTCATTATATCCTTTCTCTTTTTATTTTGAACTATTAGGTAATTTTTATCACTTACATTATTCTGTGTGTGTGTATTTTATTTATTTATTTTTGTTACAGATGTTTCTCCTTTTTCCCACATTGACACCCTCCTCCCCATCCCTCCAGCCCTGTACCCAGCTTTGTTGTCCTTGTCCATTGGTTATGCATACATGCATATAAGTTTCGTGGTTTATCTCTTCCCCTTGCCACCCCCTCTTTTGAAGATTGTCAGTCTGTACCCTATTTCACATCTCTGGTACTACCCTCAGTCTGTTCCTCAGACTGTAATGCTCATAATATTCCAAAAATAAGTGAGATCATGTGATACCTGCCTTTCTGTGCTTGGTTTGTTTCACCTAGGATAATACTTTCCAGGTCCCTCCATGTCGTCTCAAAGGATAAGAGCTCTTCTTTCATATAGCTGCATAGTACTCCATTTTGTATATGTACCACTGCTTTTTTATCCATTTGTCTACTGATGGACACTTGGGCTGTTTCTAGATCTTAGCTATTGTACATAGTGCTTCTATTAACATGGGGGTACATATATTCTTTCTAATTGGTGTTTCAGGCTTCTTAGAGTATATTTCAAGAGTGGGATCACTGGGTCAAATGGCAATTTAATTTTTAATTTTTTGAAGTAACACCATACTGTTTTCCATGGTGACTGCACCAGTCTGTATTCCCACCAGCAGGGCACTAGAGTTCCCTTTTCTCCACACCCTTGCCAACACTTGTTGTCTGATGATTTGTTGATGGCGGCCATTCTGACAGGTGTGAGGTGATACCTCATTGTTGTTTTAATTTGCATCTCTCTGATGATAAGTGATGTTGAGCATTTCTTCATATGTCTCTTAGCCATTTGTATGTTCTATTTGGAGAGGTGTCTATTTAGTTCCTCTGCCCATTTTTTAATTGGGTTCTTTGTATTCCTTTTGTTGAGCTGTATGAGCACTCTATATGTTTTGGAAATTAACCCCTTATCTGATATATCATTGGCAATTATGTTTTCCCATACAGCTGGTTGCCTTTCCATTTTGATGGTTGTTTCTTTTGCTGTGCAGAAGCTTTTGAGTTTTATGTAGTTCCATGTGTTCATTTTCTCCTTTGTTTCTGTTGCCTTAGGTAACGTGTCAGTGAAAATTCTGCTGCGTGTGATGTCTGAAATTTTGTTACCTACATTTTCTTCTAGGATCTTCATGAGTCACATTTCAGTCTTTTATCCATTTTGAGTTTATTCTTGTGTATGGTGTAAGTTGATGGTCTAGTTTCATTTTTTTGCATGTAAAAAAATTTGCAAATTTGCCTACACCATAGATAAAGAGACTGTCTTTACTCCATTGTATGCTCTTGGCACCTTTGTCAAATATTGATGGAGTATAATGTTTTGACTCAATTTCTGGGTTTTCTGTTCTATTCCATTGATCTATATGCCTATTCTTGTGCCAGTAGCTTTTGATTCTGGTAGTTTTGTAGTACAACCTAATATCCAGTATTGTGATCCCACCTACTTTGTCCTTCTTTTTCTAGATTGCTGTAGCTATTCGGGGTCTTGTCAGATTCTTGTTTTCCATGACCTTGATTACTTCTTGCCATTCCCTTCTGGCTTGTAGTGTTTCTGTTGAGAAGTCAGCTGAGAGCCTTATGGGGGTTCCTTTGTAGGTAACCTGTTGCTTATCTCTTGCTGCCTTTAGGTTTCTCTCTTTGTCTTTAATTTTTGGCATTTTCATTATGTGTCTTGATGTGGGCCTGTTTGGGTTCTTCTTACTTGGGGCTCTCTGTGATTCTTGAACTTGAATGCCTTCTTCCTTCACCAAGTTAGGAAAGTTTTCTGTCACTATTTCTTCAAATATATTCTCTAACCCTTGCCCATTTTCTTCTTCTTCAGGGACTCCTATGTTTCGAATGTTATTATGTTTCCAGTTGTCCTACAGTACTCTTAAGCTGTCTTCCTGTTTTTTAATCGTTTTTTCCTTTTGGTTTTCTGATTGGTTGATTTTTTCTACCCTGTCTTCTAATTCACTGATCCAGTCCTCAGCTTTCTCTACTCTGCTGGTTAGTCCTTTTAACGTGTTCTTTATTTCTGCTATTTCTGTCATTCTTCATTTCCACTTGGTTGGTTTTTAATGTTTTTATATCTTTACTCATGCTGTTGAGCTTCCTCAAAATCATGGCCCTGAACTCTACCTCTGATTACTTACTTAACTGCATTTTGTTTATCTCATCTTCAGTAGAGTTCTGTTGTTCTTTCATTTGGGATTTGTTTCTTTGTTTCACCATTTTGGCTATCTCTGGGTTTTGGAGCCTGCCAAATTTTCCCTGTGGGTGTTGGTGTTCTGCTGTTTGTGGTTCCCTCTACTGGGTTTGGATGAGCATGGGAGAGCTCACATTAAACACCACTGTCAAGTCTTACTTTTATGGGTAGATTTGCAAGCCTAGGAAAGGTTCAGTTTTCCTCTAGCTTTTTGCCAAGAGGCTATTAGTCTCAGTTACTTGAAGAGCCTTGGGTTCTCAGTTGAATGAAAAACTCCCTCAGGTGTTCAGTGTAAGAGGATTTCCAGAGGATGGGGCAGATGCTGGTTGTTAATGAGCCTAAATTTGCATTTTTTGGCTCACCTGTGTAGGGTTGAATCTCCGAGGGAGGGACTGTTGCTTCTCCCCACGGCTCTGGGATGGAGCAAACTGGCCACCATCCTGTGTGGCCGTGTTTAAGCAAAAACTCTGAATGCCCTCCAAATCCCGGGTGTTCCCCATAGAGTTCCTCTCCAGTCTTTCCTCCCTCTGACAGAGCCCAAGGTCAGTGGCTGTGGCTAATTTAATGCTCTGTCACAGCCCTATGCACTGTACAGCTGGCTTGAGATTTTAACCTCAAGGGCACTGCTCACAGCTAAGATTACTTACTGTTGCCAGTGTGCTCCCAGCCTGCCACACTCTCATGCCTCCACATACCTACCAGTGTCCCTGTTTATATGGTCCTCTCCAGCTGCTTTTCTGTTGCTTTTTCCTGATGATTTGTTTTTACTTTAGTTGTAATTCCAGTTTGGTCCTGGGGAGATCATCTGTGTAGCTTCCATGCACTCCTCCGCCATTTTTTTTTTTTGAGTCCTCACTTACATTTTTATTTTTATTTTTCCTCGTATATTTTTTTCATTTATTTCTGCTCTTTCCTTAATTATTTCTTCCAATCCACTGTCTTCAAGGGCAAAGAGTTCCTCTTTTTCTGTCTCTTTGATGGAGATTACAATGGAAAAAGAAATACATTTCTTCTCTGTTCTGTAATACGCATTTTATTGTGATTGAAAGGATTAAAGTATACTCTTATCTAAAAAGCAGGGATATACCTAATAGTTGTAGAACCTAAAACAGTCTGCCTTAACCATCAGGTTAGGATGGTATTGTTCATATTTAATAGTGCTCTTAAATTAGAATTCCCTCAGTTTAGGCATGTATTTCAATATTCGTTACAGAAATATAATAGTCAGTGCACAACTTTGTACTGCAAGGATGAAGAGAAAACTTAAAAAACAATCTTGGATGCTATTGAAATATTCTCTTTTCATTTTCATTTTTTATTATTTTGTTGTTGTTGTTAATTCTCACCTGAAGATATTATCCCATTGATATATTTGACAGAGTGGAAGGGGAGGAGGAGAGAGAGAGGAGAGAGAGAGAGAGAGAGAGAGAGAGAGAGAGAGAGAGACATCAATGTGAGAGAGATTATCAACTGGCTGCCTTCCACAGGACCCAGATCCATGCTGGGGATCTAGAGTACATGCCAATGCTCTAACTGTGGAGCTAAACCAGCAGAGCTCTCTTTTTCTATTGTATCCATCATTAGCTAAGGGAAATTTTCATATACTACTAATAGAGGGGAAATATCTAATTTTATAAAATAATGTGCATGATTATTCCATGGTTTAATCTCTAAATTTACTTTCCAAGATGAATCAATGCAGTAAAATAAATAAAAACTCCAAGTCTCTATTTTATTAATAGTAATTTTTCTGAAATAATAGTATAACAATAAGCACATATGGCATCCCTTTTAGTATCAGTCCTCTTTTTATATGGCAGTAAAATGTCATCAAGATACGTGCTTCTTACTAATATTCAAAAAAAAATTCCATCATTTGTGTACTCACTCATAGATGTTAGTGAGGGTGTACGAAAGTCACTCCTTTAGTGTAGATCAGGAAAGAATGGTGAGATATCATGAATCCAAATTTTATTATTAAGGATTATAAAAATAATTTGCAATGAGAACCAAAAGGAATATTATGAACAAATGTTTTGATTTCAAATTAACAACTCTTAAGTGTTCTAAACAATGACCAAACCATACAATGCCAAATGATTAATCACACTGTTCTACACTCACCTTACATTTGTGGATAACTTGCTAATATTGCTGTCTTCTTCTGACACAGATCTATAAAATTAATAAAACTTACTTTAAAGTGGGGAAATTTTTAAATGTTAATTAAGTGACTATTTGAATAAAGAATGTTTTCAAAGAAACAGAGTGATTCATTAAATGAAATATCTTCTTCCAATTAAATAATACAAACAAAACAGATGTGGTCTCAATATTAGAACAAGTGCGGTCAGCTACCTTGCTTTGTTGATTAACTCCTCTTATCCTCATTTTATATTTATTCAAGTGTTTATGTTAAAAGCTACATTCGTACAGACAGGGCCCCTGATTCTATGTTATCCCTAAATCCTCAGGTAAAATTAAGCCCAAAACATTTAGTAGTAGTCAAAAATTTCCTATATATTTTAGTACATATTTCTTTCTTCCTCTCATAACACATACTTCATACAGGTTTTTCCTATCAATTTTTGGAACGCAAAACTAGAGGTAAATATTTCTGTGGGAAAATACAGTAAATTATTAATAAAGATCTTAATAATGATGTTTAAATATTTGGGTAACTCACAGAGCTAGCACAGTTGCACAGCAGAAGTATGCTGGGCCCAAAGATATTTGTGTAACTGATTACAGGTAATATGGTGATTTCACTTACTAAGTTGTTGTACTTAAAAGCTTTCAATACATTGGAAAACTATTATCTCCCACTTTATAGAATTATGGAGAATGATTTTAAGAACATAAAGATATCACAGTTTTTTACATGCAGATTCAGAGATATAATCTCTAGTAGAAAGAGGTTCTCTAATAAAGTTGTTTTCCACTGCTCTGAAACTCTGTATCTAAAACATTTCTTTTTCACAAGTTCCCTTGAAATGCAATGCCACCTATTCTCATGAAGCCTGTTGACAATATAACTAGACAGGGTCAGTGGGCTAAGAGACTGATTAAACCACAATATTAAAAGCACCCATATGTCCTTGTAAAGTGATTCTAGTGGTAAAATGAGTAAAACAAAAGTAACATGAAGAATACCATACTGGTTTGAAATATATCCCTTGGGCTTCTCCTCATATTGCTTTACCTATAGTCTTAGATAATTCTTCATGAAACCTGAATACTCTTTTCTTGGCTTATTTAATGAGTTATTTTATATACATACATACCTCTTATTTTCCGTTTCCCTTCTGTAGCATAGCTCTCTTATTTTATCCTGCTTTATTAAAACAGCAGCAATAATGATAAGCACAGGTAAAGAAATGTAGAAAATGAGTTGAAATTGGCGTTTTGGAGAAGGAGTAGATCTTCCATCCAAGTACCTTCTACCTAGAATAGAAAATAACCCATTTCAAATTATGTCAGAGACTTTATTAACCAAATAAAAAGGTGGAGAAGCTATCATTACCAACACTATTCCCAAACACCAATCATTGTATTCATACAAATTATACATCTAATAAAATTCAAAAAAACTAATGTACAAAATAAACTGTTACTAGTGCTTTACTAATGATTTTGCATTTTTGATCTTCCACCATATGGTGATGTTATTGACTAAAGGTAATGTTATTTCATGAATCACATGTTTAATATTTGCAAACATTTCTTCAATTCTTTTCTGATACCACTTTTACAAAGTTCAAACATGCATACCACAATTGTGAGAGTTAAACATGGGAAATGTGGCATTTAATTTATCTTACATTACTACAATTTTTCTAAAAATTAATAATTAGTAGTTGCTAAATAAATTAGTTATTTAACTAAGTTGTTTAATCAAGTATGTAGCAACAAGAAACTAAAATGGCTCTAGGATTATTTTATAGAATATATGGCTAAGCCTGGCTTTAACCCATTTTTTACTAACTAGTGCTAATATCAACATTTTTCTTCTCAGTTCTCATTCATTCTCAACTGAGAATGTGCTCCTCAGGTTCCACCTCTTTGTATATATCAGCCACCTTTCTGGATTGATACTATGTCAGTTCGTTTTCTCCTCTGTTCATTGGCCTGTCTCCTTTTATTGGATACACTGTGTATTATTTGCCAGTTGGAACAATGGAGGTGACAGGCAGAGGAACCACTCTCCAACTACACTTACCAATGATCACTGAATCTCAATATACTCCTATTGTAATCACCCTGGAGCTTCTACCTTTTCCCATAAGATTTTTCTAGTGAGTTCAAGGTAGGAAGTTCAACACTTTCTGCTTGTCTGCTTTGTGCATGTGATTGAGGTTCCTAGTATTATTAGGATCAGGATTACATTGTATTTGTAATCAGAAAGCCATTGAATCAGATGAAGAGATTCTCTGGCTGTATGCTGCAGATTGTTTCTCAGCTACTTAGACAGTCTTTTGGGTAATCAATGATATTACTTGGGTTTGAAAAGAATGTAATATATTCCCAGGTGGCCTCAGAAGCATGAGTAGATTTTCCAGGAACCAGAAAAATTGGTCTTACTTCTTTCCCCTATACTACTGTCTAGTTTTAACAAGCACTACTAGTAATAGCCAAGAAAGAATATTTTCTACTAACTCCCCTTTCAATTTGGTGTTCTTTATTTTATTAACTACTCTGGATCTCCATTTTCCATTAGTAAAAACTAGTCCCCAGTAATCTGCCTCAAAGCTTCTGCTACTTCATTCCACAGATGCTTTAGGGAATCATCCAAGCACTTAACTATTCATGGCTTTTCACCTCCTCCTTTTCATTACCCCAAAGTGTTTTAGCCTTTATTAGTAAAGGGTTTAATCATCAGATCAGACTCCCCATAACATAGGTCTTACCCACACCAAACATTACAGTCAAACATCAGGTATAGAAAAATAGATTATTTTCCTGGAGAGGTCTGAATCCATCTGCTGCATCTCCCAAAAGTTTCCCTTGATTTGCAATCCCCCCCACCACACACACACACACACACACACACACACACACACACACACACACATTCTCATTGACTTCTGAAAACAAAACAGATGATAATTTTGAGTAAAATAGAAATAATATTGTTCATAAAGGAAGCTATCTCAGTTTTGTACTGTTAAAAACACAGCTTACATAATTACCTTGCTTCTCCAATTAACTATTCCATCATAAATCAATAAATTGATTTTTTTAGAGTAAGCTATATATATACAGATAAGTACATCCTGCCAATAACATTTTAAAGAGAGGGACTCTTGGTATTTTTCTGCCAATAAATACTATTAATGTGTGTGGTGGTTAATTTTATGTGTCATCTTGACTGGGCCATGTGTATCCAGATACTTAGTCACATATTATTCTGTGTGTTTCTGTGAGGGCATTTTGGAATGACATGAACATTTACATTGGTAGACTGAGTAAAGCCGATTGCCTCTTCTAATATGAGTAGGCCTCATCCAATAAGCTATAGGTCTTAATCAAACTAAAATGTTGATTTTCTCAAGAATAAGGGAGGCTTCTTCCTGCCTGAAGAAACTGAACTGAGACATTGGTTTTTTCTGAGTTTCAAGCCTGCAGACCTTTGGACTCGAACTAGGCTATCAGCTCTCCTAAGGCTCCAAGTGTGCCAACTCACCTGGCAGATCTTGGGACTCTCTTCAGCCTCCATAATCACATGAGCCAATTCCTTATAATTTCTCTCTCTCTCTCTACACACACACACACGTGCGCACACACACAAACATTCACACACATCCTATTGGTCCAGTTTCTCTAGAGAATCCTGACTAATACAGATTTTGGTACTCAGATAGGGTGCTACTATAACAACTACCTAAAAATGTGAAAATAGCTTTGGAACTGAGTAATGGTAGAGGCTATAGGAATTTTGAGGAGCATTTTAGAAAATCCTTGATTGTTATCAAGGAATAAGTATTTTTCACATGTTCATGAGAAAATAATATATGTGTATAATTCTATACACATGTTAAATTATCATGCTCTTATTTTGGTCTGATACACAATCTGATACAGCTTTGTGTTAGCTCTCTAAAAAGTGGGTCACCCTAGGTATTACTAATCTAAGATACAGATTAGTTTGTCCAGGAGATTCATTATGTATTTGCTCCCCAAGGAAAGAGAGTAAGGGTAGACAGCCCTTTTCTGCACCCAGATTATTTTAGGCGGGCTTTCATACATTCTGGAACAGGGAGTATCCCCCAGTTTTATTCAGTTTTATGCAGACCTTCTTGATCTCAAAACAATATTCAGGAAACCTTAGGTGGGAAAGTAGAGATTCTACAGAGGAAGTTTCAAAATTGAAGCTCCTATAATTCAGGAGAAAGGAACAAAAGACAGCCTGAAAGATTCTAGTGGCATTAATATAACAATGAGTACTAATGCTATTTTAAACCAGGAATATATAAAATAATCCAAAGCAAATAATTTAAATTAACTAGTGAAATTATATGCATTGAAATTTCTACTTTTAAAAGTGCCTAATGTTGGATACACTTCATATTAGTAAATAATGTCAATGTTGATATAGAAAAAAAATTACAAACTTATACTGACCAAGATTATTTTTACCTTATAATTAAATAAAATTGTGTCTTTTTGCTTCAGTTGTTCGGTAATCTAGCTTGTAATCTACACTTTAATTTATTCTCTTTAATATAATCTTTCTATATGGTTATTAAAATATTTTACTGTTGATATAATTGCAGGTGTCCCCCTTTCCCTCCTTTTTGCCCACCTCCATCCACCTGCGCCTCCCCCTCCCTTGGACTTAACCACACTATTGTCCAAGTCCAATGGATACACATATATGTTCTTTAGCTAAAGATACTAACTTGCTTCAGCTATGTGCCCATCATCCACACTTCCAAACTGTCCTTTCTTTTCTAGGCAAGAAGGAGGAACATACCCTTTGTCACAATGGCAATGGTTTAAATTATTGCAAACCTGGAATAATCAGAAAACAGAACAAATTTTTATATACAAAGATGATTTACAATAGAGAACAATGAATATCTACATTGATTCAACAGATAATTTATTCCAGAGAAGCTATCCATTCTATAAAATGTATCTTTAATAGACAAATTCGAAATAAAGAGAAGAGATGGCAGTGGGCAGGACCGGAGGGAGGGTGAGTGTGTGAGAGAGTAAGCAAGTGTGTGAGAGAGTGTGAGTGGATGTGAAGGTGGACGACCAAACCAAAGCAGTGCAGAACCACGGAGCAGAAAGTTCCTGTGCTGTGGACAGGAGCAGCTGGCTACAACGGTAAGCTGCCCTTCAGGGCCCTTCTCCCTGCTCTGCGGGGAGGTCCCACCATTATGGAAGATCCCGGGTCTTCCCTGGGAAGAGGCAGTGGGAGCTGCTAGGGCCCAGCAACCTGAGCCCACCAACACACCTGCCACCATCATACCAGTGGACACTCTGTGTCAACACAGACCAGTGCACTAGTACTGCAGCTCCCAAGGTGCTGGTCCCAGAAGCCGCCAACAGCCCAGAGCCCAACACCATCCCCCATAGTAACAGACCAATCAGAGTCTAGATATACACCCAGCAACAGAAGCTGGGGAGCAGACATCCATCCCCAGGCAACAGAAGCACAGACCAGCAGCTGAGACCCATCCCTAAAAACTACAGCAAAAGCTGAGCAGGAGTTGAGCCCCACAGGGCAGCAGCACTCCCCAGCCACCAGCTGCAGGACCTGGGGCTCCACAGAGGCCTGTGCTGTCCAGCAGCTCACAAGGACAGTGGGAAACCAGAGCCTGAGAGAGACTGGTGCAATCCAACTGCCTTCTCACAGGACCTGCAGGGTACAGGGGCACCAGAGAGGCCTGTGCAACCTAGTAGGGACTGTGTTATCCAGTTACCCGTGTGACCTGTGGGGTGCTAAAGTACCTGAGAGGACTGTGTGACCTAGCAGGGACTGCACGACCTAGTTACCCACAGGGCCTGTGGGGTGCTGAAGCTGCAGAGAAGCCTGCATGACCCAGCAGCCCATAACATAGGCTTAGAGCCGGGTCCCCAAAGGGACTCTGCAATCCAGTTACCCATGGGACCTGCAGGGCGCTGGGGCACCAGGAAGGCCTGTGCGACCCAGCTGTGCACAAGATAGGCATAGAGGATGTGAAAATGGAAGTGGAGTGAATATAAGCTACACAGACAATCTCCCAGAACCAAAAGGGAATTACAACAAAAATAAAGACAAATCTTTGGAAAAAAAGCAACAGAAAATCAGCAAGATAGGAACATATAACCAGGGACACTGGTAGGACCTGCAGAGGCACGAAAGGGTGGCAGACTGGGAGCCATGGACAGCAGCAGTCTTAGATGTGAGCAGCACCCTTGGGGAATAAAAACCAAGCTTGCTCCATAGCAAAGAGGGCCTGGACATAGTGATAAAATAGCCACAGCCACTCACCTGGGGGCTACAGCAGAGGAAGGGCAGACTGGACTGGAACTCTGTGGGGACACCTGGGATTTGGAGGGCACTCAGAGTTTTTGCTGAGTTGTAGACACAAAGGACATTGGCCAGTGGGCTCCTTCCCAGAGCTGTGGGGAAAAGCAGCAGTCCTCACTCCCCTCAGACAGTCAGCCTTTCCCAGGTGAACCAAAGAAATGCAAATTGAGGCTCATTGATAAACAGCATCTGCCCCACCCCCTGGAAATCCTCTTTTGCAGAACACCAGGGCTACATTCCAGGCACTGAGTAACTGAGACTACTAGCCTCCAGGAAAAAGCTAGAGGATAGCTGAACCTTTCCTAGGCTTTCAAATCTACCGAGGAAAAGAAGACTTGAAAGTGGCGTTTAACGTGTGCCCACCCAGGCTCATCCAAACCCAGTAGAGGGAGCCACAAACAGCACAACAACAACACCCACAGGGATAATTTGGCAGGCTCCAAAACCCACTGAGATAGCCAAAATGGTGAAACAAAGAAACAAATCCCAAATGAAAGAACAAGAGAACTCTATCAAAGATGAGATCAATGAAATGCAGCTAAGCAAATTATCAGAAGTAGAGTTCAGAGCCATTATCTTGAGGAAGCTCAACAGCATGAGTAAGGACATCAGCACCATGAGTAAAGATACAGAAACACTGAAAACCAACCAAGTGGAAATGAAGAATGACATAGCAGAAATCAAGAACACATCGGAAGAACTAACCAGCAGAGTAGAGGAAGCTGAGGACCATATCAGTGAATTAGAAGACAGGGTAGAAAAAAAATCAACCAATCAGAAAACCAAAAGGAAAACTATTTAAAAAACAGGAAGACAGCTAAAGAGAACTGTGGGACAACTGGAAATGTAATAACATTTGCATCATAGGGGTCCCCGAGGAGGAAGAAAATGGGCAAAGGTTAAAGAATATATTTGAAGAAATAATGACAGAAAATTTTCTAACTTGGTGAAGGAATAAAGCATTCAAGTTCAAGAAGCACAGAGAGCCCCAAGTAAGAACCCAAACAGGTCCACACCAAGACACATAGTAATTAAAATGCAAAAAGTTAAAGACAAAAAAAGAATCCTAAAAGCAGCAAGAGAGAAGCAACAGGTTACCTACAAAGGAAATCCCATAAGGCTCTCAGCTGACTTCTCATCAGAAACACTACAGGCCAGAAGGGAGTGGCATGAAGTAATCAAGGTCATAAAAAAACAAGGATCTCAATCCAAGACTACTCTATCCAGCAAGGCTATCATTCAAAATGAAGGTCAAATAAAGAGCTTCCCAGACAAAAAAAAAAAAGAAAGAAAGAAAAAGAAAAAAGGTTAAGAAAATATATTAACACCAAACCAGCACTGCAAGATATGCTAAAAGGATTGCTATAATTTGAGAAGAAATGGGAAGAAAAATATAATCACAATAAACAAAAATGGCAATAAATAAGTACATATCAATTATCACTTTAAATGTGAATGGTTTGAATGCTTCGATAAAAAGACACAGAGAAGCTGACTGGATAAGAAAGCATGACTCACATATATGTTGTTTACAAGAGACCAAACTCACAACAAAAGACTCACGTAGGTTGAAAGTGAAGGGATGGAAAAAAATCATTCAAGCAAATGGAAAAGAAAAAAAAAGCTGGGGTAGCAATACTCATATCTGATAAAGTAGATTTCAAAATGAAGGCCATAACTAGAGACAAAGAAGGCCACTACGTAATATTGAAAGAATCTATCCAACAGAATAATATAACCTTAATAAACATATGCACTCAATATAGGAGCACCAACATATATTAAAAATCTTTTGGAGGACTTCAAAGGAGAAATCAACAGCAATACAATCATAGCAGTAAACTTCAATACCCCACTGACATCACTGTATAGATCTTCTAGACAAAAAACTAACAAGGAAACAAACACAGACTCTAAATGAAGCGCTAGATCAAGTGGATTTAATAGATATCTACAGAGAACTACACCCCAAAACTGCAGAATTCACATTCTTCTCAAGTACACATGGGACATTCTCAAAGATAGACCACATGTTAGGGCACATACTAAGTCTCTACAAGTTCAAGAAGATTGAAATCATATCAAGCATCTTCTCAGATCACAATGGCATGCAATTGGAAATCAATTGCAACAAGAACATGCAAAGACATTTAAAAACATGGAGGCTAAATAGCATGTTTTTGAACAATTGGTTACCATGGAGATCAATGAAGAAATTAAAAACTTCCTGGAAACCAATGAAAATGAACACACAACAACACAAAATCTATGGGATGCAGCAAAAGCACTTCTGAGAGGGAAGTTCATAGCACTAGAGGCCTACCTCAAAAAGCAAGAAAAAAATTCCTGGTCACGATGGCGGCATAGGTAAATGTAGTATCACATCCTCCCACAACCACATCAAAATTACAACTAAACTACAGAATGTACAGAACATCATTCAGAACCACCTGAAATCAAGCTGAATGGCAGTCCTACATCTACGGAATTAAAGCAGCAGCTGTATCAAGACTGGTAGGAAGGGCAGAGGCATAGGGGCTGGTTCAACACACTCTTGTGGCAGATAAAAATCAGGAGGACAACTGAGCTGGGAAGGCCCTTTCTGGGGACTGACGGGTCCCCGTCCCACACCAGGCACCCTACTCAGGGTTCCCATGCCAGAAAGAGAAGTCCTCATAATTTCTGGCTGGAAAAAACAGTGAGAACTGAGGCTCAGGGAAGCTGAGGTGGCTGGAGCCCCAGGCAGCTCCTCTTAAAGGGCCCGCACACGGACTTATCTAACTCACTCCCTCTAAGCTTGGAGGGGAGGCAGCTCGAGAGGCACCAGAGACATACAGGGAAGAACTGAGCTATTTGGCACTGGAGCAAGGGCTGGAGAGGGGGCTTTCTCCGGGACAAATGTGCTGTCAGAGACCTGTGTTCCTTTGGTGAGCAGACAGTTGCCATATCTGGGACTCCCAAATCCTGGCTCACACTGGTTGCCCCGCCCTGGTGATTCCCTGAGGCCCCGCCCTGCTACCCAACTTTCAGGCCCACCCAAGCTGTTACCAGTTGCTTAATCACAGGATTGGCCTGTCTTAGATCATGCTTCAAATTTTCCTAAATTCTTTCAAACAAGCAGCATCTGGTCGCAGATAGCCCCATATTCCTCAATAAGTAATACACAGAAACAAACAGGGAGGCAGCCAAAATGAGGAGACAAAGAAACAGGACCCAAATGATAGAACAGAAGAAAACCCCCAAGAAAAGAACTAAACAAAATGGAGATAAGCAACCTAACAGATGCTGAGTTCAAAATACTGCTTATAAGGATGCTCAATGTACTTAGTGAGGGCCTCAAGAGCATAAAGAAGGAACAGTCAGAAATGAAGGAGGCATTAACTAAAATAAAGAATAATTTACACAGATTCAATAGTAGAGTACATAAATACAAGAAGCAAACCATTGATTTGGAATATAAGGAAGAAAAAAAAAAAAAGCCCAATCAGAACACCAAAAAAAAAAAAAGAATCCAAAATAATGAGGGTAGTGTAAGGAGCCTCTGGGACAACTTCAAGTGGGCCAACATTCACATCTTGGGGGTGCCAGAATGAGAAGAGAGAGAACAAGAAATTGAAAACCTGTTTGAAACAATAATGGCAAAAATTTCTGTAACTTGGTAAAGGAAACGGACATACAAGTTCAGAGAGCACAGAGAGTCCCAAACAAGATGAACCCCAAGACGCCCACACCAAGACACATCATCATCAAAATGCAAAAGGTTCAAGACAAGGAGAGAATGTTAAAAGCAACAAGAGAAAAGCAGTTAGTTACCTACAAGGGAGTTCCCATAAGGCTGTCAGCTGATTTTTCAAATGAAACTTTGCAGGCCAGAAGGGAGTGGCAACAAGTATTCAGAGTGATGAAAAGCAAGAACCTACAACCAAGATTACTCTATCCTGCAAAGCTGTCATTTAGAATCGATGGCCATATAAAGACTTTCCCAGACAAGAAAAAGTTAAAGGAGTTCATCACCACCAAACCATTATTATATGACATGATGAAGGGTCTTTTTGAAGAAAAAGATAAAATATATGAACAAACAAAATGGCAATGAATACATATCTATCAACAATGTAATCTACAAACAAAATGAACAGGTAGAACAGAAACAGTCTCATAGATACAGAGAACATTTTGTTGGTTGCCAGATGGGAGGGCAGTTGGGGGAATGGGTGAAAAAGGTGAAGGGATTCAGAAGTACAAATTCATTGCTAAACTGACAAATCTCAAAGGGAAAGGGGTTGGGGGGTGGGAAGAAATAAACCAAAGAACTTATATGCATAATCAATGGACACAGACAATAGTGTGGGAAAAGGTGGGAGGGGGGCGGGAGTGGGGAAGAGAGGGTCAATGGGAAAAAAATGAGGAACATCTCTAATACATTCAACAATAAAGATTTTGAAAAGAAAAAAAAAAAAAAGAAAAATTTCTAATAGACTATCTAACCTTACAACTTAAAGAACTAGAAAGCAAACAAAAAAGAAAACCCCAGAGCAAGTAGAAAGAAGGAAATAGTAAAGACCAGAGCAAAAATAAATGACATGGAGACCAAAAAAACAATCCAAAGGATCAAGGAAACAAAGACCTGGTTCTTTGGATAGATAAACAAGATTGATGGACCCTTGGCTAGACTCACCAAGAAACAAAGAGAGAGAATCCAAATACACAAAATCAAAAATGAAAGAGGAGAAATAATAACTGACACCACAGAAATACAAAGGATTGTGAACAAATATTATGAACAATTATATGGCAACAAATTTGACAATTTAAGCTAAATGAACAAATTTCTAGAAACACTTAGTCTCCCAAAACTGAACCGGGTACAGATACAAAACTTAAACATACCAATAACACCAAAAGAAATTGAAGATGTAATCAAGACTCTCCCAGCAAACAAAAGCCCAGGTCCGGACAGCTTCATGAGGGAATTTTACCAAGCATTCAAAGAAAAACTAACAACCATTCTCTTCAAACTATTTTAAAAAATTCCAGATAAAGGAAGACTTCCAAACTCGTTTTATAAGGCCAGCAAAATTCTAATTCCAAAACCAGAAAAAGACACTGCAAAGAAAGAAAACTACAGCCCAATATCACTGAGGAACAAAGATGCCAAAATCCTGAACAAAATACTAGCATATTGGATTCAGCAATACATCAAAATAACTATTCACCATGACGAAGTGGAATTCATCCCAGGGATGCAAGGCTGGTACAATATTTGTGAATAAATAAATGTGATACACCACATAAACAACATAAAAGATAAAAATCATATAATCATATCAATAGACGCTAAAAAAGCATTCGACAAAATCCAGCACCCATTTCTGATAAAAACGCTCAGCAATCTGGGAATAGAGGAATCATATCTCGACATAATAAAGGTCATATATGAAAGACCTACAGCCAACATCATACTCAATGGGCAAAAACAAACAGCATTTCCCTTAAGAACAGGAACAAGACAAAGATGCCAAGTTTCGCCACTCTTATTTAACATAGTACTGGAAGTCTTATCCACAGCAATCACACATGAAGAAAATAAAAGGCATCCAAATTTGAAATTAGAAAGTGACACTGTCATTATTCGCAGATGTCATGATACTATACATAGAAAAACCCAAAGACTCCATCAAAAATTTACTAGACTTAATAAATGAATTTGGTAAAGTAGCAGGATACAAAATTAACATCAAGGAATCAATGGCATTTCTCCTTTTTTTTTTATCCTCACCCGAGGACATTTTTCGATATTTTGTTCAGATAGAGTGAGAGGGAGAGAGAGAGAGAGAAACATCGACGTGAAAGCGACACATCGAGTGGTTGCCACCCACACGACCCAACCAGGGCCGGGGACAAACTGCAACCAAGGTACATGCCCTTAGCGGGAACCGAACCCGGGTCTCTCCGGACCGCAGTCCGACGCTCCAACCGCTGAGCCAAACCGGCCAGGGCTCAATGGCATATCTATACACCAATGATAAACTCACAGAAAGAGAAACTAAAAAAACAATTCCATTTACCATCATAGCAAAAAAAATTAAGATACCTAGGAATAAACATAACCAAAGAAATAAAGGACCTATTTGCAGAAAACTACAAGTCATTGAAAAAAGAAATAGAGAAAGATATAAAAAAGTGAAAGCACATACCTTGTTCATGGATTGGAAGAATTAACATCATTAAAATGTCCATATTACCCAAAGCAATCTATAGATTCAATGCAATCCCCATCAAAATCCCAACAACATATTTCACAGAACTAGAACAAATACTTCAAAAGTTCATATGGAACCAAAAAAATACTTCGAATAGCCACAACAATCTTGGAAAAGAAGAACAAAGTAGGAGGGATCACATTACCAGATTTCAGGTTATACTACATAGCCACTGTAATTGAAACAGCCTGGTACTGGCACAAAACAGACATACAGAGCAGTGTAACAGAGCAGAGAACCCGGAAATGGACCCAAAGCAATATGCTCAATTAATATTTGACAAAGGTGGCAAGAGCATACAGTGGAGTAAAGACAGCCTCTCTAATAAATGGTCTTGGAAAAATTGGACAGCTACATGCAAAAAAAAAAAAATTAAACTAGACCATCAACTTACACCATACACAAGAATAAACTCAAAATGGATAAAAGACTTAAATGTGACCTATGAATCCATAAAAGTCCTAGAAGAAAATGTGTGCAACACAATTTCAGACAACATATGCAGCAGAATTTTCACTGATTCATTACCTAAGGCAACAGAAACAAAGGAGAAAATGAACACATGGGACTACATCAAACTAAAAAGCTTCTGCACAGGAAAAGATACAATCATCAAAATGGAAAGGCAACCCACTGTATGGGAGAGCATAATTGCCAATGATGTATCAGATAAGGGGTTAATTTCCAATATATGTAGAGTGCTCATACAACTCAACAAAATGAAGACAAAGAACCCAATTTAAAAATGGGCAGAGGAACTAAATAGACACCTCTCCAAATAGAACATACAAATGGCTAAGAGATATAGGAAGAAATCCTCAACATCACTAATCATCAGAGATATACAAATTAAAACAACAATGAGGTATCACCTCACACCTGTCAGAATGGCCGCCATCAACAATCATCAAACAACAAGTTTTGGTGAGGGTGTGGAGAAAAGGGGACTCTAGTGCACTGCTGGTGGGAATGCAGACTGGTGCAGCCACTATCGAAAACACTGGTGTTACCTCAAAAAATTAAAAATTGAACTTCCATTTGACCCAGTGATTCCACTTCTAGGAATATACCCTATGAAGCCTGAAACACCAATAAGAAAGAATATATGTACCCCCATGTTTGTAGCAGCACTATTTACAATAGTTAAGATCTGTAAACAGCCCAAGTGTCCATCAGTAGACAAATGGATAAAAAAGCAGTGGTACATATACACAATGGAGTACTATGCAGCTGTAAGAAAGAAAGATCTCTTATCCTTTGAGATGACATGGAAGGACCTAGAAAGTGTTATCCTGAGCAAAACAAGCCAAACAGAGAAAGACAAGTATCATATGATCTCACTTATCTGTGGAAGGTAATAAGCATAACAGTCTGAGGAATTGGGTAGTTCCAGAGATGTGGACTTGGGGTACAGACTGACAATTCCCAGAAGTGGGGGTGGGGGAAAATAAACTACAGAACTTTTATGCATATATGTATGAACAACGGACATGGACAACAATGTGGAGACAGGGTGGGGAGGGATGGGGCTGGGGGAATCAGTGGGGGAAAAAAGAGAAGCATCTGTAACAAAAATAAAATAAATAATAAAAATAAATAAATAAATAATAGAGAAATTCAACAAATTTTCACCAATTTTTTCTTGAAATTGTCTATACCTTAAGAAGTACATATAACTTGTGTTGCCAAGTCCATTTTTTAAATTTTTTTCAACTCTCCACATAGCCAATCCCAAATATTGCCAAGTGTTAGTAACATGCCATTAATCACATTTTCTTTCTAGCTTTACAGAGCAGCCCAGACCCTAAATGAACTAGAAAGACAAGCAAGAAAATTCTAATAACCTTTATTTACTAGTTTCTGCCTTTTCTCTGTAAAAATAAGATAATTAGGGTTATATGGAAACACGTGGTGCTTATAGCACACCCACCCTACATATTTACCATTTATATATCCAGAATCATCTTAAATGTTTGTACTTTATCTTCTCTGATAGTTTGGCAAGATTTCTTAGGAAAATAATACTAAAGCTATAAAATATAGACTCTTAAATGACACCACGTAGTATAAAAAATGATTTTGAAAATTACTCAAGTAATTTTATAAATCTCCAAACTGTTTATTGAATTTGCAAAACATGTTGCTTACAATGAAAATTGAAATTACTTACTCCCTTGTTATTACAAGTTGTAGAACTCTTGCATGCAGCAGTATTGGTCAAGTACTTAATCTCTCTACAGATAAAATCGACACAAAGCTAAAACAAAGCAAAAGAAAATGAAAAACAAAGTCAAATAATTAGATTTTGTTCTTTGATAATACAGACAAAAATGAATAAAATTTCAGAATTCATATTTCCAACAATTAGCGTAAAATTCCATAAAATAAAGTAATTGTGAGTACAGTGAAATAAGCTGGATATTTTTAGATTATAAAGACATAATCATATGTGAAAAGTTGGAAGTTTTACTTTTTTACTATCTAGAACAGAAGTCCTCTTAGATATGTATTTGATTAGTTCCTTGAATTCAAGAATTCACTGAGAAAAGATGGCAGCTGGCAGGACCAGAGGAGAGTGAGTGTGTGAGACTATGAGTGAGTGTGAGAGAGTGTGAGTGGATGGGAGTGTGGACAAGCAACCTCAAGCAGTCCAGAAATGTGAGGCAGAGGGTTCCTGTGATGTGGACATGAAACAGCTGGCTACCACAATAAGCGGCTTGTCAGTGCGCTTCTCCCTGTGCAGCTGGAAGGCCGCGCAATTTTGGAAGATCCCTGGTCTTCTCTGGGAGGAGGCAGTGGAGCAGATAGGGAGCCCACCAGTGCACCTTGCACCATTGGACCAGTGGACCCTGCTGTCAATGGGGAGCAGCACACAATAGCAGTACTGCCAATGTGCCTTATGTGGAAGCTGCAACCAGCCTGGAGCCTAGCACCTTCCCTCACAGCAGCAGGCTGATCAGAGCTCAGCACCTCACCCCATAGGAGCAGTGACTAGGCAGGAGTGGAGCCCCATCACCAACAGCGGCTGAGATTCAGCAACCTAGACACACCCCAGAAACAGAGGCTCGGGAATGGACATCCATCCACAGGCAGCAGCAGCACAGATCGGCAGCTGATACCCATACCCAGCGGCATCATTAGAGGTGATCAGGAGTGGTGTTCCAACCCAAGCAGCAGCAAGGTTTGAGAAGCAGAGACCTGCCCCTGACAACTGTAGCAGCAGATTTGGAGTGGAGCCCCTCCCCTGGCATCAGCAAAGTCCTGGTTGCTGAATATCCTAGCCTCCAACAGCAGCAGAGGATTGGGAGTTGACACTCATCCCCAGCTGCATCAGCAGTGAATAATCAGGATCTGAGCCCCACCAGGCAGCGCCCCAGCAGGAATCATGCACCCCAGAAGACCACCAGCAGGACCCATGTGCAACAGCAGCACCTACCATGACAGACCAATACCAGCCACCAGTTGTCAGTCCTCCAGGATGAACAGCAGGCAATAGGTTCCACAAACCGAAACAGCCTGGGAGGCAAAGAAGCCTTAATTGATACACACAGATGTGCCCACACATCCCAACAGATCTCACCAGACCTAGAACTATTAGACTGCTAAAATGGTGAGACAAAGAAACAACATCCAAATGAAGGAAAAGGAGGAATCACCAGAAAAGGAACTACATGAAATGAAAGCAAGCAATCTGTCAGATCAAGAATGCAAAGCAATGATTCACAATTCAGTGAGAACTACAAGCAACTTAATGAGAATTATAGAGAGTTCAGTGAGAATTACTTCAGCTTAAAAAAAAGAGGTAGAAGCTATGAATAAAAGCCAAGAGGAAATACAGAGTAACATAACTGATATGAAAAATAACTTAGAAGGATTTAATAATAGATTAAAAGAAGCTGAAGACCAAATCAGCAAGTTAGAAGACAAGGTAGGGGGGAAAAACTACAAAGCAAGAAGTGAGTTTAAGGGAGCTTTGGGATAACACAAAATATAACAACATTCACATCATAGAGGTACCAGGAGGAGAAGAATCAGAGAAAGGAATATAGAATCTGTTTGAAGAAATAATGACAGAAAACTTCCTTAATTTGGTGAAGGAAAAGTCACACAAGTCCAGGAAACACAAAGAGCCCCAAGCAAGAGGAACCCTAAAAGACCCACAGCTAGATACATCATAATTAAAATGGCAAACATTAAAGACAAAGAAAGAATCTTAAAAGAAGCAAAAGAGAGATAGAAAGTTACCTACAAGAAAGCTTCCATTAGACTGTAAGCTGATTTCTCAACAGAAACACTGCAGGCCAGAAGGGAGTGGCATTACATGAAGTAATGAAAGGCAAGAGTCTGAATCCAAGACTACTCTATCCAACAAGGCTATCGTTCAAAATTGAAGGTGAAATAAAGAACTTCATAGACAAAAAAAAAAAGCTAAAGGAATTTACCACCACCAAACCAGCACTGCAAGAAATGCTGAAGGGACTGCTGTGAGAAGAAGAAGAGAGGGAGAGAAACACAGGCATAAAAAAAAATGTCAACTAATAAATATCTATCAATAATAACCTAAAATGTAAATTGTTTAAATGCTCCAATCAAAAGACATAGGGTAGCTGACTGGATAAGAAAACATGATTCATATACATGTTGTCTACAAGAGACCTGCCTCAAAATAAAAGACTCACACAGGATAAAAGTGAAGGGATGGAGAAAAAATATTCAGGCAAATGGAAATGGAAAAAAAAAAAGCAGGTGTAGCAATACTCATATCTGATAAAACAGACATCAAAATGAGGGCCATAATAAGAGACAAAGAAGGTCACTACATAATAGTAAATGAATCAATCCAACAAGGGGATATAACCCTGGTTAACATATATGCACCAAATACAGGAGCACCAAAATATGTATAAAAACTTCTGGAGGACTTCAAAGGAGAGATCATTAGTAATACAATTATAATGAATAACTTTAACACCCCACTTACACCACTGGATAGATCTTCTAGACAAAAAATTAACAAGGACAAAAAGTTCTTAAATGAAAAACTGGAACAGTTAGATATTTATAGAACATTTCACCCCAAAGTTGCAGATTATACATTCTTCTCAAGTGCCACGGGACTTTCTCAAAAATAGACCACATGTTAGGACACAAAGTAAGTCTCTACAAATTCAAGAAGTTTGAAATCATATCAAACATTTTCTCAGGTCGCAAAAACATGAAACTAGAAGTCAATTACATCAAAAACATTCAAACACATGGAAGCCAAATAGCATGTTATTAAACAACAAATAGATAACCAAGGAGATCAAGGAAGAAATTAAAAACTTCCTCGAAACCAATGAAAATGAACACACAAACAACACAAAAATCTATGGAATGTAACAAAAGCAGTCCTGAGGGCGAAGTTCATGGCACTACAGGCTTACCTCAAGAAACAAGAAAAATTCCTAATTGACTTTCTAATGCTACAACTTAAATAACTAAAAAGTAAACAGAAAGAAACACCCAGAGCAAGTAGAAGAAAATAAATAGTAAAAGTCAGAGCATAAATAAAGGACAATGGAACGAAGAGCTGGTTTTTTAAAGAAGATAAAGAAGATTGAAGGACTTGTAGCCAGACTTACCAAGAAACAAAAAGAGAGGACCCAAATTAACAAAACCATAAGGAAAGAGAAGTAACAACTGACACCACAGAAATACACAAGATCATAAAAACATACTACAAATTATACTCGACAAATTGGACAATCTAGGTGAAATGGATAAATTTATAGAAATGCACAGTCTCCCAAAACTGAACAGAGAAGAGACAGAAAATTTGAACAGGACAAAAACAACTAAGGAAATTGAAGATGTAATCAAGAAACAAAACTGCTAGCAAACAAAAGCCTAGACCCTGACGACTTCATGGGGTAGTATTACTGAACATTCAAAGAAGATCTAACACCCGTTCTCCTCAGACTATAACAATAAATCCAAGAAGAGAGAAAACTTCCAAACTCATTTTATGAGACCAACATCATTCTGATTCTAAACCAGCTAAAGACACTACAAAAAAATAAATAAATAAACTACAGGTCAATATCCCTGATGAATATAGATGCCAAAATCCTAACAAAATATTAACAAATCAGATCCAGCAATACATCCAAAAATTTTTTTCTCATGTCCAGGTGGGATTCATCCCAGAGATGCAAGGATGGTACAATATTTACAAATTAATAAGTGTGATACAGCACATAACCAAAATGAAAGATAAAAACCACATGATCATATCAATAGATGCTGACAAAGCATTTGACAAAGTCCAGCACCCATGTCTGATAAAAACACTCAGCAATGGGAATAGAGGGATCATATCTTAACATAATAGATGCCATATATGAAAAACCTACAGCCAACATCATATTCAATGGGCAAAAAATAAAGGCATTTCTCTTAAAAACAAGAACAAGACAGGGGTGCCCAAATCTGCAAATATTATCTAACATAGTACTAGAAATCTTAGCCACAGAAATTAGACATGAAGAAAATATAAAAGGGATCCAAATAAAAAAGAAGAAAGTGAAATTGTCAGTATTTGCAGATGACATGATACTGTACATAGAAAACTGTAAAGACTCCATCAAAAATCTACTAGCTTTAATAAATGAATTTCCCAAAGTAGCAGGTTACAAAATTAACATCAAGAAATCCACAGCATTTTTTTACACCAACAATGAACTCTGAGAAAGAGAAACTAAAAAAAATCCCATCTACCACTGTGAAAAAAAATTAAGATACCTAGGAATAAAGTTAACCAAAGAAGTAAAGGACCGATTTGCAGAAAACTACAGGTCATTGAAAAAAGAAATAGAGGAAGAGACAAAAAAGAGGAAGCATAAACCTTGTTCACGGATTGGAAAAATTAACATCATTAAAATGTCTATACTACCCAAAGCAATCTATAGATTCAATGCAATTCCCATCAAAATATCAATGACATACTTCACAGAACTAGAATAAATACTTCAAAAGTTTATATGGAACCAAAAAAACACTTCGAATAGCCACAGCAATCTTGAAAAAGAAGAACAAAGTAGGAGGGATCACAATACTGAATATCAGATTATACTACAAAGCCATTGTAATCAGAACAGCTTGGTACTGGCACAAGAACAGGCATATAGATTAATGGAACAGAACAGAGAACCAGGAAATTGACCCAAGGCGTTATGCTCAATTAATATTTAAGAAAGGTGGCAAGAGCATACAATGGAGTAAACATAGCTTCTTTAATAAATGATGCTGGAAAAATTGGACAGCAAAATGCAAAAAAAAAAATGAAGCTAGACCATCAACTTACACCATACACAAGAATAAACTCAATATAAATAAAAGATTTAACTGTGACTTGTGAATCCATAAAAATCCTAAAAGAAACTGTAGGCCACAAAATTTCAGACATCATACACAGCAGAATTTTCACTGGTACAATGCCTAAGGCAAGAGAAACAAAGGGAAAAGTGAATACATGGGACTACATCAAACTAAAAAGCTTCTGCACAGCGAAAGAAACCAGCATCAAAATGGAAAGGGAACCCACAATATGGGAGAGCATAATTGCCAATGGTACATCAGATAAGAGATTAATTTCCAAAATATAAAGATTACTCATACAAGTCAACAAAAGAAAGACAAAAACCCAATTAAAAAATGGGCAGAGGGCCTAAACTGACACCTCTCCAAACAGGACATACAAATGGCCAAGAGACATATGAAAAAAAAAAAAAAATGCTCAGTGTCACTAGTCATCAGAGAGATGCAAATTAAAACAACTATGAGGTATGACCTCTCACCTGCCAAAATGACTGCAATCAAAAAATAATCAAACACCAAGTGCTGGCCAGGGTATGGAGAAAAGGGTACTCTAGTACACTGCTGGTGGGAATGCAAACTGGTGCAGCCACTATCAGAAAACACTATGGTGTTACCTCAAAAAATTTAAAATCGATCTGCCATTTGACCCCATGATTCATTTGTAGGAATATATCATAAAAAGTCTGAAACACCAATCTGAAAGAATATATGTACCCCCCATGCTCATAGCAGCACTATTTACAATAGCTAAGATCTGGAAACAGCCCAAGTGTCCATCAATAGACGAATGGATAAAAAAGCAGTGGTACATATACACAATGGAGTACTATGCAGCTGTAAGAAAGAAAGATCTCTTATCCTTTGAGACAACATGAAGGGACCTGGAGAGTATTATCCTAAGCAAAATAAGCCAATCAGAGAAAGAAAAATATTACATGATCTCACTTATTTGTAGAAATAACGAACAAAACAAGCTGATGAACAAAATAGATCCAGAGACATAGAAAAGAGTTCAGTTCACACCCAGCTGGTGTACCTCAGTGGTTGAGCATCGACCCATGCACCAAGAGGTCGCAGGCTTGATTCTCAGTCAGGGCATATGCCCAGGTTGTGGACCAAATCCCCAATATGGGGCATTCAGGAGGCAGCCAATTGATGTTCTCTCTCATTGATGTTTCTATCTCTCTCTCCCTCCCCCTGCCCCTCTCTCTAAAATCAATAAAGAAAAAAAAATTTTTTTTTTTAAAGAACGGAGTGCAGTTCAGATTGACAAACCTCAGAGGAGGGAGGAGAGGAAAGTGGATGAGGTAAACCACAGAATTTATATGCATCTGTGCATAACCAAGGACATAGACAACAATGCTGAGGGAGGGGCAGGATTGGGTGGAAGGTGTCAATGGGGGGAAAAGGAGAAACATCTGTAGCAAAAATAAAATATATAAAAACTAAATAAAGAATTCACTAAAGAGCATTTCTAAAATGCCTATGCTTGATCTCCAAATAAGACCATTATATCAAAATCCCTAAGGACATGGTACAGGGAATTATTATGAGCAGTCAGGGTTGAGTACTGTCAGGTGGGAGATTAAAATCTTAAAATCATTGTTATGAGAATACCGCCACAACCACATCAAAATTACAACTAAACTGTAGAATAGCCATCATTCGGTACCACCTGAAATCTAGTTGAATGTAAATCCTACAACTAGAGATTTAAGGAGATCAAAGAAGAAATCTAAAGATACTTTGAAATTAATGAAAATTAGAGTACAACCCAAAATCTGTGGGACACAGGGAAAGCAGTTCTAAGAGGAAAATCCATAGCATTACAAGTCTATCTCAAGAAACAAGAAAAATTTGAAATAATCTAATTTTATAATTAAAGGAACTAGAAAAAGAACACCAAACAAAGCCTAGAGTGAGTAGAAGGAGGGAAATAATAAATATAAGAGCATAAATAAATGAAATAAAGTCTTAAAAAAAAACCAAAAAACAATACAAAAAAGACCAATTAAACCAAGAGCTGGTTCTTTGAAAAGATAAACAAGATTGACAAACATTTAACCAGACACATCAGGAAAAAAAGAGAGAGGGTGTAGAGAAAAGGGGACTCTAGTACACTGCTGGTGGGAATGCAGACTGGTGCAGCCACAATGGAAAATAATATAGTGTTTCCTCAGAAAATTAAAAATGGAACTGCCATTTGACCTAGTGATCCCACTTCAAGGAATATACCCTAAGAAGCCTAAAACACCAATCAGAAAAAATACATGCACCGCTGTGTTCACAGCAGTGCTATTTATAGTAGCTAAGATCTGGAAATAGCCCAAGTGTCCATCAGTAGATGAGTGGATAAAAAAGCGGTGGTACTTTTACAGAACAGAATACTATACAGCTGTAAGAAAGAAAGATCTCTTACCCTTTGAGACACCACAGAAAGACATGGAGAGTGTTATGCTCAGCAAAATAAGCCAATTAGAGAAAGACAAGTATAGTATGATCTCACTTGTTTGTGAAATATAATGAACAAAATAAGTTGATGAATAAAATAGATCCAGAGACATGAAAGTGGGGAACAGACTGACAAACCTCAGAGGTAAGTTGGAGGGGAGGGTGGGAAGACATAAATCAAAGAACTATATGCATATGTGCATAACCTATGGTCACAGACAACAGTGTGGTGAAGAAAGCAGGGAGGAAGGTGTCAATGGGGGGAAAAAGGAAGCTATCTGTAATACTTACAACAATAAAGATAAAAAAGAAAGAGAAAGACAAATAAAAGGTGAGGAAATCTGGACTATTATATTTAGTTAATAATAATGTATCAACATTGTTTCATTGATTATGACAAATGTATCATTCTAGTGTTAGATGTGAATAGAGGAAACTGGGTGTGTTGCTTAGGGGTAGGAATGGGTAAGCGGGAAGGGTTGTTAACATGTTCTAAAATTGGATGTGGTGATTGTTGTGCAACTCTATAAATTAAGCAAAGCAATGATTTACCATAGATGAATTTTATGCAAACGATACCTCAGTCAGGTTGTTTAAAAATGCATTGGTTGGTGTATTGTCAAAATGAGTATAACCATAAACAATGTTAAAAACAGTTGTAATTTTGTAGTTGTAATTACCATGCTAGGTCCACATGCACTACCATCTTCTATATATGTTTCATCTCTTTGGTTTGGCTGACTTACTCCTGTAGCCGCATAGTGAGGTAACTTGTCCTGGTTTAGCTTTGTAGTAGCTACACATATGTCGTCTCGTACATGTGCGTAAATCACAGATAAATTTGGACGTATTATTATTGCTCTATGTGGCCAGGAACAAATTAATTTTCCACACAGAAGATTACTGGAAGCATAAGGCAGAAAAGAAAGTATCTTATTATTTAGATTGATTGCTGACATAGCTAACTTAAATCAAGATTTTAAGAATTTTCTCAGTTAAGTTTTCTGAGCATACCAACTTACACATGACGTGGCTATATTTGTTTTGTGAGGCATTGTAGCAAGAAAAAAAAATTAATGGCTTTTGCAACCTGATGGCCGTGATCTCTCCTATATTAGCTTCTGATTTTTATGCAAATGGTTGCTGGTCTTCAGTTTTTTTTCATTAGCAAAATAAGATAACTCTTACTATAAATTCTTGATGTATCAAATATCTTTATAATATATATAAACTACATAATACAATGTCTAGCTCATCTCATCAATAGAGGCAATTTTTATAGTCATTGTAACGTTATAGGCACATGTTATTTGTAGGCAATGGGTAATAATGCTGTTCTCAGATCATGAAACAAAGAAAACCTGATATGAAATACCATTTTAGTGTATATATAATAATATATTCTAGGATCTTAGCAATAAATAACTTACATTACAAATAAAATTAGAATTGTCTAAATACATACGGCCAACCACAAGCCCCTTTACCACAGTTTCCATATCTATCTCCTCTTGAATTTATTTCATCATAACAGTGAAATGGTGCACCTCTAGAAGCTAAAAAAAAAAAAAATGTAAATTGTAAATTATAATACATAATTCCAAATATCGGTAAAAAACATAATAGACTCACTCTGGAAATTATGATTATGATTCCCTAGGAAGGTTTATAATTACCTAGCATCAAATAGTGGCTGGGGGTAGATCTAGGATTAAAAAGAGATCTCCTCATACAAAGATCTCTGTATGAAACAGAGATAAAGTAAACTGCAACATTATTTAAATGGCTCTATATTGTTGAAAGAACAAGCAGCCCTCTCTATTTCTGTTAAACTGTTTACTTTCTCCCTTCATTCCTTACCCAGTGAGAAAATAGAGTTTTCTCTTATTCCAATCAAAATAGGAGAGAAATAGTATCCATGATCAAATACTAATAAGAAGCCAAAGATCACTTAACTCTTCTTATTCCATACTATATTAATCTCTGTTCCCAAGCATCCTGTCAATCACTAAGTAAGAATTGTTGAATTTTAAAATTAGGAAGGACATCAATGTTTATCTACTGCAGCCTTTTTATATATTTAGTTGTGTCTAATTTTAAAAGAGTGAATAATTCAAATGAATAGAATAGCTGTCTCATCACTTAGACTTGGTGATTTACAGGAGGGTTGGGTTGATCATGTTAATCACATATAATAAGAACAGATCATTTATTGTCACCATTATTAATTGACCAGGGAGCTTTCTTCAGCAATATTTTTTTTTTATGGTTGGGAAACATTATGAATTTTACTCTTTCTCCTGAAAGACATAATCCATACATATATAGGATGCTACTAAACAGTCAAAATACATTTGTGAGCAGAATCCACCATAATCAACCTTTTCTCTTTTTAATTACATTTTTTCTTTATCCTTACCTGAGGACATTTTTCCATTTTTTGTTCAGATAGAGGGGGAGGGAGAGAGAGAAAGAAATATCGATGTAAAAGGAACACATCAAGTGGCTGTCTCCCGCACAATCCAACCAGGGCCGGGGACAAACTGCAACCAAGGCACATGCCCTTAGCAGGAATTGAACCCAGGTCTCTCTGGACCTGCTAGCACTCTAACTGCTTTTGAAGGGGACTACTCTTGAACTCACCCAATATGCAATTAGCTTGTGTTTGCTTCACTCCAATCAAAATATTGCATTGATTAAATCTAATTTAAATTTGCCAATTCTCCCAAATTCAATGCAGGGCCAAGACTGGGATGGTGGAAAATTTAAAAGAGCAGGGGAACAAAAATTCAATAATCAAATAATATCTTAATGCATTTTAAAAAATCAAACTTGATTGCAAGGAATTTCCATGATGAACAAAACAATGAATTTTAGATAGGGATGGGCCATTGCTTGTTACATTAAAACCTGTGCCATTTGACTAACCCATCTAATCCACCAGAGTTCTCTTGAGTGGCTTGGGGAGCCATGTCAGTAACCCACTACTCTGAACAACTCAACATCCTGTACAGTGGCCTTTTTCAGCTCAACTTTTGAGGCTCAGGATGACAAGTATTTCTGTACTGTTTTCTTAACACCCAAGGCCCACTTCCCTGGCTGACTTAGTCCTGGCCAGAATTTTCTTTCTTCCTAAAATTATATCTGCTGTAATTCTATCACCTAATTCTCCTGGGCCTGAAAGATTTAAGCATATATGATATCAACTTTTTTTCCTTGCCTCCATTTGGCAGTATTTGAACTGAGGTCACCACGAGACCTAAATAAACAAAGATAGTGATCAGAAGTTTGGGACATTTTAAGACAGAAATTTGACACTCTTACAGAAGCACGAAAGTCACTGGGGTTCCCAGAAGCCTGGGTGTCAGTTTCTTGATAAACAATGAGAACAGCTGGTCACATCAGAAACTGCAATGATATGCTGTGGGTGGGAATGCTCTTGGAGGAGATTCTGAGAAAATAAACAGAATCAAGAGGATATAGTTTTCACTTGGTAGGCCCAAGTAAAGGTCAATAACAGAGGAGGTTGCTTGTTTTGGGGGTTGTCTCTGTCTTGTTTCCTATGTGGTTACAAGAATCTTCAGGAGAAAAACATTTATTCTGTGTAATTTTTTTTTTTTTTTTTTTTTTCTATCCTCACCTGAGGACATTTTTCCATTTTTTGTTCGGATAGAGCGGGAGGGAGAGAGAGGAAGAGAGAGAGAGAGAAACATCGATGTGAAGGGACACATCGAGTGGCTGCCACCGGCACGACCAACCAGGGCCGGGGACAAACTGCAACCGAGGTACGTGCCCTTAGCGAGAACCGAACCCGGGTCTCTCTGTACTGCAGGCCGACGCTCCAACCGCTGAGCCAAACTGGCCAGGGCCTGTGTAATTTTATATACTTGTTCACCTTACTTGTTAATCACTTACATTTTATAACTTACAGTGTTTTCCTATCACATTTTATTACCAGGGCAGGAGTGCAATGAATGCACACAGGTATTTACATTTCTGTTTATGAGTGAGGAAACCCAGTGTACTGTGCTTGGTGATATTGACCTCAATGCTCAAGAATATTACAAGCAGCTGCTCCTGAGTTTGACCATTTAGCGGTTATCAGCAGTTCAAATAAAAAGTACAATAGAAAGAAAGCATTATTTTAGTCCCCTGTGATTGAATATATGAAACAGGGACACGAAAATGTAAGCTAATTCTATAAAATGCTTCCATGTAAAAACGCTCCAAGTACCACCTGTCACTGCAATGTTTAATGGAGCTTAGGAATATCAAAATATAATAAAATAGGCCCTGGCTTGGGGAAACAGAGGGTCTTATAAATACATCTTCCACTGTAAAATGGAAACAGGTTGCAGCCAATGGATTCTCAGGTTGAAACTGTGAGACTGAGTAGCATTGTTGGTGGGAATGTTAATTGGGGCAGCTACTATGGAAACCAGTATGGAGATTCTACAAAAAGTTAAAAATAGGACTAAATGAATGCAGCAATCACACTTCTGGGTCTATATTCAAAGGAATTAAAATCAAGATCTCAAAGAAATATCTGCACTCCCACATTCATTGAACCCTTATTCACAATATCCAAGATATATAAACAACATAAGTGCCCATCAACAGATAAATGTAAAAGGAAATGTGTGTGTATGTGTGTATATACAATAGAATGTTATTCGGCCCTGAAAAGAAGAAATTCCTGCCACTTGACACAACCTGGATGAATCTTAAAGGCATTATGCTAAGTAAAATGTCAGACATGGAAAAACAAATATTATATAACATCATTCATATGTGGAATCTAAAAAAAGACAAAGTCAGAGAAACAGAGAAGCGTGATAAGTATCAGAGGCATTGGGTAATGGAAATAGGGAGATTTGGCCAAAGGGTAAAAACTTCCAGCTATGGCATTTACAAATTCTGAGAACATAATGTACAACATAGTGTTTATAGCTAATAAAACTGTATTATATACTTGAAAGTTTCTTAGAGAGTTGCTTAGAAAGTTCCCACCACACACACACACAAAAAATGATAATTATATAACAGGATGAAAGTGTTAGCTAATCCTATGGTGGTAATCATTTAGCAGTGTGTAAATGTATGAAATCAATATGTTGTAAACCTTAGTGTGGTGAATGAAATGGGGCAGGGATGGGGAAGAGGGGGTCAATAGGGGGAAAAGAGGAAAAGTCTGTAATAATTTCAACAATAATGATAAATTTTTAAAAATTTTACAAAGTGTTAAATGTCAATTATATATCAATGATGTTGGAGGGGAAGATATTGCAGAGGGAGAAAGACACCAGTGACATTACAGTGCAGGAAGTCTTGGACTATTCTCCCAACTCACAAATGCATCAACTTGGCAATAACTCATGAATAAATTCCCTTTGTGATAAATCCTAAACTAAATAAAAGTCTTCTTTACTCTAGGACAACACAAAACCAGACTCACTAATGCCAGAAGGGAGATTCAGAACATCTCAATAAAGATCCTACCTTGTCAACATGTCTTTCAAGCAGGAAGAGACCATTTAACTTTCAATTTCACCCAAGAGAAGGAAGGGATTTGTGTGCATGCTCAGGACTCATACATTTCCAAAGGGGCTACCCAAAGAACTGGAATCTGTCTTGCCAATTCTTGGAGCTTTAATGGGGTTGGACAATAAAGCTGTCCAGGAGACAACAGGGATGGCAGCCTGGACTAGTAGACACCAATGGTACCCCTCCAGATCACCACATAAGTAAGTGCATGAATAATCACAGATCTCACTTTCTGCATTAGGAGGGAAAGAGTTGATCCAGAGCTCCTAGTACCAAAGAGAAATAATGGAGTTTACGATATACTAATTATATTGAAGAGTAGACTAAAGGGGTTCAATATCAAACTAGATCCACCAGAAGAAAGGATCAATGGACTCTCATAGAAATCACTGGAAATTTTTAGTAAGAGCAAACAAGATAAAATAATACAAAAGAGTAAAGAAAGCTTGATAGACTTGTGGGACACAACCAAAAGGACTAATATGCATTATGGGAGTTCCAGAAGAAAAATAAAAAGGAAAGGATCAGAAAGCATATTCAAAGGAATAATAGAATTCCAAAATGGCATCAGAGTGAATGGAAGCTACACACACCATCTCCCAGGACAAAACTGGAATTACAATTAGAATAAAGACAAAACGTAGGAAAAAAGCAACAGAAAAGCAGCAGGGGAGGACCCATATAACCAGGGACAGGCAAAGGACACTAAATTGAGCCTGGTAGAAACTGCTGAGGCATGAAAGGGTGAACTGGGAGCCCATGGACAGCAGCTATTTTAGCTGTGAGCAGCTCCCTTGGGGTTAACATACCAAGCTGGCTCCACAGTGCAGAGATCTGGGACAGAGCACTAAATTAGCTACAGCCGCTCACCTTGAGCTTCGGCAGAGGGAGGGCAAACTGGACTGGAACTGTGTAAAACTCCAGAGCTTGGAGAGCTGGAAGGCATAGGGAGTTTTTGGCTGAATCACTCCCTCACAGGACAGTAGTCATTTTACTCAAAGAGCCCCAAGGAGAAGCAACGGCCCCTCCCTCACAAATTTATACCACCTGTCCAGACCAGAGAAATGGGAATTGAGGCCCATTAACAGCCAGCAAGCATCTGCCCCACCCTCTGGAAATCCTCTTACACTGAACACCTGAGTGAACACCTGAACACATTTGGCTGAGGGCTACAACCCAATGTTCATCAAGTAACTGAGTCTAATAGTCTCCATGCAAAAAGTTAGAGGATAACTGAACCTTTCTCGGGCTTGCAAACCTACCCAGGAAAGTAAGACATGACAGTGGTGTTTAACATGGGTCCTCCCACACTCATCCAAACTCAGTAGAGGGATCCACAATCAACAGAACACCAACACCCACAGTGAAAATTTGGCAGGTTCCAAAACCCACTGAGACAGGCAAAATAGTGAGAGAAAGAAACAAATCCCAAATGAAAGAACAAGTGAACTCTACCAAAGAAGAGATAAATGAAAAGCTGTTAAGCAAGTTATCAGAGGTAGAGTTCAGAGCCATGATAATGAGGAAGCTTAATCGCATGAGAAAAGAGCTCAACAGCATGAGTAAGGATATAGAAATATTGAAAACCAAACAATTGGAAACAAAGAATGACATAGCAGAAATGAAGAACACATTGAAAGAAATAACCAGCAGAACAGAGGGAGCTGAGGACTGGATCAGTGAATTAGAAGACAGGGTGGAACAAAAATCACTCAATCAGTAAACCAAAAAGAAAAAGAAAACAATTAAAAACCAAGAAAACATCTTAAGAGAACTGTGGGACAATATGAAACATAACAACATTCACATCATAGGAGTTCCAGAAGAAGAAGAAAATAGAGCAAGGGTTAGAGAATATATTTGAAGAAATAGTGACAGAAAACTTCCCTAACTTGCTGAAGGAAAAAGGCATACAAGTACAAGAATCATAGACAGCTCCATGTAAGAAGAACCCAAACAGGCCCACATCAAGACAAATAAAAATTAAAATGCCAAAAAGTAAAGACAAAGAGAGAATCATAAAGGCAGCAAGAGATAAGCAACAGGTTACCTACAAAGAACCCCCATAAGGCTATCAGCTGACTTCTCAACAGAAACACTACAGGCCAGAAAGGAATGGCATGAAATAATAAAGGTAATGAAAAACAAGGATCTGAATCCAACACTACCCTATCCAGCCAGGCTATCATTCAAAATAGAAGATGAAATAAAGATCTACCCAGACAAAAAAAAAAGGCTAAGGGAATATATTAGCACCAAACTAGCACTGCAAGAAATGTTCAAAGGAATGCTGTAATTAGTAGAAGAAATAGAAAGAAAAATAGAACTGCACTAAACAAAAATGGCAATAAATAAGTACATATCAATTATCACCTTAAATGTGAATGGTTTGAATGCTCTGATAAAAAGACACAGAGTAGCTGACTGGACAAGAAAGCATGACTCACATATATGTTGTTTACAAGAGACCCACCTCACAACAAAAGAATCACAGAGGTTAAAATTGAAGGGATGGAAAAGAGCTTCCAAGCAAACGAAAAGGAATAGAAAACTGGGGTAACAAAATTTATATCTGATAAAATAGATTTCAAAATGTTTTGAAATAAGCAGATGAAGAGAAGCTCAACATTTTTAATAATTAATAAAATGAAAATCAAAACTACAATAAAGTACTACCACATACGCATTATGCTTTCTACTAAAAAGACAAAACAAAACAGAAAATGATGTGTTGGTGAGAATGTCAGGTAATGGGAACCCTTGTGCCCTGTTGGTAGGGATATAAAATGGTACATCCACTGCCAGAAAACTATGGAGTTTCTTAGAAAATTAAAAATAGAATTAGCATATGAGCCAGGAATTCTACTTCTGGATGTATACCCAAAAGAACCTATAGTAGCCCTGGCCAGTTTGGCTCAGTGGTTGGAGTGTCGGCTTGCGGACCAGAGAGTCCCGGGTTCAGTCTCTGCTAGGCCCTAGTGGCTAGGGGCATGTACCAAAAACAAAACAAAACAAAACAAAAGAATGAAAAGTAGTGTATAAGATATATTTGTACCATCTATGTTTACAGCAGCATTATTCACAATATCTAAAACTAGGAAGGGACCCAAGTGTGCATTAACAGATAAATGGAGAAAGCAAAAAATATGAACTGTTCAGCCATAAGAAGGTACCATTTGGAGAAGGTGCATTTCTGCTTGAGGGTTCTTCCATGTCTAAATAAGAATTCCATATAAATTCACAGGGGTTTTATTGTTTGTTTTATGGAATCAAGAAAATTTTATTTTCTTTAACAATAGTATGTTCAAAGTAAGACTTCACTTATTAACACATTACATTTATACTTTTGTCCTATAGAATTGAATAACAGCTTGCAAAACTTAGGAACTAAGGAGAAAATATGCTCATTACCTCCTCCAACTAAGTTTTTACACTGTTTATCATGTATTCGACATTGTCCATCATAACAGTAGGACTCGTTTTTATCACAAAGCATTCCATTGCGTTTGAAAGTGTTAATCCCACAGTGTGGATCATCCCCATTGCAATATTCAGCAAAATCACATTCATCATCAACTGGTTTCCTACAAAGTACACCAACTGGTTGTATCTAAAAGGAAAAAGAAATATAAGAAAAGATTACATATCAATGATACTCAAGTTTTCTTTCTTTTCAAGCTTTGAATTTCCATCCATTTTGTCCTAAATTGCTAAGATCAATGAGAAAAGTTTTCTTGTTAACTAGTTAAGCACTGCATAGAAACTTAGGTGATTGAATCTATTGTGCATAAATGAGTGGGTAATGCTTCTGAGAGATATGATAAACTCAAAATAACCAGACTACCATAATTGTAAGAAAGAAAGTAGAGCTAAGGAATTAATATAAAAATTACTTTCAACCCATTATGGCTGTACTCAGATATGCAGCCTTTGGTTTCTCTATATGACAGATACCAGCAACCATTCATAAAACAAAAAGTACACACCATAAGCATTTAGAATAAAGTTTGTAGATTTTAAAAGAAGAAAATTTAAGGACACACAGGAAGTTTATTTTACATACCACATTGCAAAGAACTGTAAAAAATTAACTTCTTCAATTACATATCTCTGATCTCTTCAGTGCTTACTCTTTAGCTGATAGCTTCTAGGGTTTCCTTTCTGTATACCTACTTTTGCCAAGAAACATTGAACTGTCATCACAACAAATCTTTTCTTCAATTCAAGCCTCAATTTCTCATGGCTATCATCACTATCCTATGCAAACTAAGTCAGATTAATTTGTTCTAGCTTTCCAAGGCCCTAGAGGCCCAGCTTGTACACATTCACACATACCCCCTTCCCCAGAATAGGTTTTCTGTATACTTTTTCTCAAATTTTCAACACATATTTCCTACCTGTACAAATTTTCCGAATGATGGATTAGAAGAGAAAACATAATACTTAATAGAGTTAACATTCAAATAAAAATCAGCAATCAAATTATTGGTAAAGGAAAATACATATAAATATAATGAGGAAGTATGAACACTTGCTTCTTGAGCCTATGCTGCCTTTTACAAATATGTATAAATTACAACCTTAATGTCACTGTATTTTCTTTTGCTATTAAGACTCAATTTTTTACAGAAGTCAAACTATCACATAAAATATGAGGGGAAAGTACAGAGATTTCCCATATAACCCCTCCCCCCAGACATACAAAGCTTGTCTTATTATCAACCCCTCCCACTAGAGTGGCATATTTGTTACAAATGTCGAATTTACATTGATACATTGAAAGCGGTAAGAAGAACAATTTCACTTTACCCTTCACATCATGCCTCCTCCAAGGTGGCACAACTCAATTTGAACAGAGACCTTCCTGGCCCATGATTTCTCCAACAGGGATAGTGAAAGTGGCATGAGAACCTGGTTTCCCCAGCCTTTGAGACACTGCCCAAGAGGCCAATTATTGTCACGTCCCACCCAGAACACTCAGAACACTCAGGAAATCGGCACAGTTGGAAACTCTGGGAATACCTAGGAGCAGAGGAAAGAAATGGGGGCTCACAGCAACCAGTGTGCAGATTACAATAATCAACCACTTATCTTATTAACTTGCTCATGACTTCACCAAGAACCCATAAACCAATTAAGTCATGAAGTTATAAACCAATAGGATATCCTCACCTGAGGACACCCACAAGTAGCCAATAAACAACCCCAGCACTTCAAACACATACCCTAGAGCTGGCAGCTTACTCTCCCCAGCCAATGGTGCTCATGGGCTACCAACGGTGTGCACAGTCCTACACACAACACATGGATATCAGCAGCTGGCTTGACTCAACTGAACTAGAAGAAGTTAGACAACTTTATACATTTCAGGGCACTACCTTAGGAAAAGTAAATGGGAGGCTCTCTGCATCTGGACTGGCTTTGCAGGATTGAGAGAAGAAACACATCCTAAATTTTCCCCTAATGAGGGAATAAGAGAAGTAGAGAAAGCATATCCATAGAAACAATCTGAGAGATCTCGAAAACTATCTAGGCTGACTTGATGATTGGCTTCTTAATGATCTTAATCTTCTTAATTGTCTTAAGCAAAGTGGGATATAAATGAGAACAGACAGACAAATAAATAAAAATCAGAAAAACAATACATGAATAAATGAGAAGTTTAACAAAGAGGGAAATTATTTTTTAAAAGAACCAAACAGAAATTCTGTATCTAAATAACAAATTGACTAAACTGAAAAATTCTATATAAAGAGCTTCAAAAGCACAGTTGATGACGCAGAGAAATAGACTTAAATACAATCATTTGAAATTATCTATTCAGAGAAACAAAAATAAAAAAAAAAATAAAGAAAATCTACAGTACTTGTGGGACATCATAAGAAGAAACAAAAAATGCATTATAGGAGTCCCAGAAGGAGCAGAGAAAGAAAAAGGGGTAGAAAGCTTACTTAAAGAAATAATGACAGAACATTTCACAAATCTGGGGAGGGAAATGTACATAAAGCCAAAAGAACTGTAAATAAATTAAACATAAGGGGGGTCTTTAGAAGACACATTACAAATAAATTTTCAAAAGTCAACCACAAAGAGAACATTTTGAAAGCAGTAAAAGAAAACTGATTATTGCATAAAAAGGAACTAAGTAGATCACTCCTCAAAAACCTTGCTGGCCAAGAGAGTGAGATGACAATTTCTAAGTGCTAAAAGAAAAATCACTCTTTAACCAAGAATACCATATCCAAGAAAATTGTCCATAAATGAAGAAGAGGTAAAACTTACCCAGAAAAATAAAAGCTGAGGAATTTCACCACCACTAGACCTGCCTGTATAAAATGCTACTGAGTTCTTCAAATCAAAATAAAGAAATGCTGATTATCAACATGAAAGTATAAATATGACTGGTAAATTTAAGTATATAGTGAAATTCTGATTACTTCAATACTGTAATATGCTGTCATGTAAATCACTTTAACTCTAATACAAAAATTAAAAGACAAAAGTAATCAAAATAACTGTAACTGTAATAATTTGTTCATGGATATACAACATAAAAACATATTAAAATACAGTATCAGAAGCATAAAATGTGGGGGGAGAAAAGTAAAAGTGTACAGTTTTTGTATGAGATCTAAGTTAAGTTATCAGGTCAAAACAGACTATTAAAGCTATAAAGTGTTGTTTTGTAAACCATGTAGTAATCACACACTAAAAAAAATACAGGTAGTTGATACACAAAAGATAAGAAGAAATGAATCAAAGCATATCACCATAAAAAAATCATCAGTCTGTTCCATGCTTAACTGAGAGGTCTCAGAGAATAGGGTGGGGTGGTGGAGTGAAGAGATTAACCAAAGAAATTATATGCATATGTACATAGCCCATGGACACAGACAATAGTGTGGTGAAGGTTTGGGGTGGAGAGGAAACAGGTTGAGGTAGGGGCAAGGGGGAAAAATGTGAGACTTCCATAGTATTCTCAACAATAACATTTTTCAAAGATATTTAAAAATAATCAAACCACAAAATAAGACAATAAGAGAGAAAAACGAGACAAAAGAACTACAAAATGAAATAAAAAAGCAATGAACAATATAGCAAAAGCAAATCTTCCTTGTCAATAATTACTTGGAAAGTAAGAACCAACTATATCCTATCTACAAGAGACTCACTAAAGCATTCAGGAAACACATAGACTAAAAATCAAGAGATGGAATATATAGCTGATGCAATTGGCAATCAGAGAAGGCAGGGAGGGCTACATTTATATCAGATAAAATAGACTTTAAGTCAAAAACCATCACATGAGTAGTTCCAAGATGGCTGCAATGTATGCGAAAGCAACACACACCACCTCCCTGCACCAAACCAAAGTTTCAGCTAAAATTTAGAGCTATCAACCTGAATAAAAAACAGAAAGACACCTGAACAGGAATACTATATCCAAGGATTGAGCAAAGGAAGCTAATCCGAGATCGGTAAGAAGGATGGGGACATGGAAAGGGTTGGTCCCTGAACCTAGGGACAGCTCTGTGAAACCAGAGAAATACTGCAGCTTCAAAGTACCCTCAGAGGAAAGTGGGGACCCCCAAACCTGAGCACCAGGAATGGAAGAAGAGCCAGCATGGCATTAGGCAGCAAAACGAAGCAGGGACTTTGTCCACTGGAAAGAGGAATTCTCCTCGAATCCTAGGTGATCTCCTTAAGGGCTAACACATAGAACTCACTCTTGGGCACTCACCTGGGGCTCTTGTAGAGGAAAGAAGACTCAGGGCATACAGAAGCCATAAAGAGAAGATCTGAGTGGCATAGCTTCTGAGCTCTGGAAGGCAGGCCTCTGAGGTCCGGGTCCTGAGCCAACATCCCACACTACTCTCAGGCACCATCTCTCAGGGTCCAGAACTTTTTTTTTTTTTTTTTTTTTAATATATTTTTTTGCTCTGGCTTTCTTTCTTTCTTTCTTCCTTTCTTTCTTTATTTTTTATCCTCACCCAAGGACATATTTTGCATTTATCTTCAGATAGAATGGGAGGGAGAGAGGGAGGGAGAGAGAGAGAAACATTGACATGGAAGAGACACATTCAGTGGTTGCCACACGAATCCAATCAGGGCCAGGGACAAATGGTAACTGAGGTATGTGCCCTTAGTGGGAAACAAATATGGGACTCTCTGGTTCGAAGGCCAATGCTCTAACCACTGAGATAAACCGGCCAGGGCCAGAACTTCCATTCTTACAGCACCAGCCTGAGAAAGTGCATTAACCTCATCCCACAAATATTGCCAACACCACCCTGCCAAGCTCAAGTTTGGCATAAAAGACTGCTTGCTGCACCCAACAAGGACATAAAGTGCACTTTTTTTTTTTTTTTTTTTGAAACTATAGACAAACTCTTAGACGATCACTGAACTGAATGGCTTTGGTACAAGGGCCAAAATGTACCCCCCTCCCACAGAGCAGGCAGGTGCCCAGTCTTCCCTGTCAGGGTCTCCGGCAGCAGGTAGCTGAGGAGCTCAGGGAATGTCTGTACTTACACCCTTCCTGTGGCCCTGCATCACCCCCAACAAAGGGCTGTCTGGATTTGCATCCCCAAATCCTGCTGGCCCCATGCT